TCCAAAACAGACACTCAAAACAGAAAACATAAAATGAATTCAAAACTCAAAACACAAAACATAAACACAAAGAGAACGACCCCTTATTTTTTGGATTTGGTAAGTTCTAATCGGGTTTATTCTAACTTGGATTACCTGATCTTATGTAAGTTGCGACCACACATGCAAAATCGTTGTAATTATATTCTTTAGGGAGAAATTTTCAGGTTCAGTCAAGCGCTTCGAGTTTTCGATTGGCTCTTGTTTGCCTACCTCCCTTCACAAACCATTCTTCTTCTTTTTTGTTCCATTCTCAAGTTCCTGAACTGAGTCTCTTTACTCGACCCCATTAGGTACCATCATCGATTTGAACCTATCTCTTATGAATTTCACCAGGGGATGGACCAGTAGAAGCCTAAGGCATCCGGTCTCCTAGGGGTATGGTTTGCCGAATAGATTTGATATTCTTATGTGGTGCTTTGTAATTCCTAAGTTCTTTTTTGAAAATGTCTTTCGAAAATGCTCAATCCAAACATAGATGGAATATGCGAAAAAGGTTGAGGACGTGTTTTGCTACATTTAGTAATAATGTTGGATGTAAATCAATGTACAAGCAAAAGGTTAGTGGCCCCTATTACAACAATATGTAATAGACCGGAAAAAACAAAAATCTTTTATGAGTTGAAGGCGGTTTAATTTTTAATTTTTCATTTAGAACTCTATTTGTATGATATTTTCTTAATGTTTTCCATTTTAAATAGGATTTTTATGAGTTACCTATATATATGGCCTCATTCTTTTCATTGCAAAAACAACATATTATTGAGAGATTAAATCAAAGCATGGTTGCTTTCTTTTTGGTTTTCATTGAACTCAATTTCAAACTTATCAAGAATTTCATAATTTTTATGATTAAGGGGTCAAGTTCTTTTATAACTTTGTTTTTTTGATTCAATAAATTATTGAGTCAAGCTTCAAAGTGGGATTTTAGCTTTCTTGAGGTTGTGATTCAATCTTTTGTAGGTTTAGAAACTACTATTGCTACGTGTGATCACATCAATTGGTATCAGAGCGTTGATTCTAAAATCAAGATTATATCTTTATCTTGCCAAATTTTTTTTCATCTTCTTCATCGAGTCTCCATCGTTTATTGAATCTTCATCATCTTCTTGAGTCCTTTATATCAACACAAATACCAAGAACATTCAAGAATTGTTTTGTGCATTAAATATTGTTAGGCAAATTGTTGTCAAACAACTTCCTAGGCGATGATGTTAAGTCATTTTTTATTCAGTCAGCATTAACCAATTACTGAAGTGAAATATCGACACCACAAATGTAATGACCTAAACCTACCACCTATTTGGGCCATTTGAAGTATCCTAATTTAATTAGAGCTACTCATGACCCGACTCATTATTCCTTGGATGGCTTTTGATATGTAGCCCACTTATTAATTATCTACTATGCTCTTGAGCCTAATCACTACTTAACCTAGAAGCCCACCTATCACTATATATTTGTTGCCTCCTTTGCTTTGTGTTGGCTAGAACGTTATTGCTGAGCCTCCTCCCTTCCTTTGAGAGATACTGGTTGCATCTTTTTGCTTTATGCTCCCTTTGCAGCGTGTTTTCGTCTCTCATTTCTCCTAGCTTTTGTGGCAATTGTGTGACTGCAATAACCCCTTACCTATGTCCTTAGTAGGCAAACCAAATAGCAACCGGATTGGGTGTAGGTTGTGGTTTGAGTTTGGTGACTTTGTGGTGTTGATTTCAGATATATATGATATACTAAGTCCGGAATCCTTTGGTGATCAATTTTTCACTCGACTTCGATCATTCTTGTCTTTGTTGATTTTTCGCATATTTAGTGTCAAAAAAAGAAAATTAAAAAAAATATATTCCAATAAAAAGAAAAAGAAAATTCCAAGCCAAAATGAGACCT